CCTCTGGGAACTCCTTCAAGACTGTTGGAAAACCATTTCAGGTGACTACCTCTTGAAGCTCATGGAGAGAATGCCAAGAGTGTGCAAAGCAGTAATCAGAGCAAAGGGTGGCTATTTTGAAGAAACTAGAATATAAAACATGTTTTCAGTTATTTCACCTTTTTTTGTTAAGTACATAACTCCAAATGTGTTCATTCATAGTTTTGATGCCTTCAGTGAGAATCTACAATGTAAATAGTCATGAAAATAAAGAAAACGCATTGAATGAGAAGGTGTGTCCAAACTTTTGGCCTGTACTGTATATTCATGCTACTCAGAGAAGATTATGAAATTAATGAATAATGGATGTAAAAACTTAATGGAAACTACAGAAAAACAATCAGGATATCAGTTGGAAACTACCCTACTAGGACATGGATGTAAACTGTTATGGCAACTTGACGGGTTCTTGGAGGCATACAACAGCAGTAGTTTTAGTTACAATTAATATGATAGACTTATTTGAAACATTAAAATTTAAACAAGTTAATTTAGTACAGGTAACAATATCTTTTCATGTTTACAGATAAGGATCTATCTCATAAAACAACAGAGAGAAGAGTGGAGTCAGAGAATGCATGGGTTAGCCTCAAGCCAACATGGACCGTTAGCTGCAGTGGACCAAGACCGTTGACAGTTTCTGATCCCTGCAATAAAGATAACTGACAGGTTTTATAACCATCGAACGAACACTCATTCATTTATGACCAAATCTGTGCCGGGCCACGCCCCTCTTGGGAAACACGGTCACTCCCTATTGGTCAATTGCAAAAACATTTTGGGGACATGCTTCAACAGCTAGATTACAAAAAGCCACTTTGGTGATGTTTGGACAGACTGTACTCCAAATCAATTTACACATGTGGTTTAACATGTCATAAAACATATCCCGTGAATTTTTTAATGATTGAGGAAATAGATTCTGATATACAGTCTGGTTTGTGTCATGCCAGGCCGGTTTTTTGCTTTTGTAATAATAAAAATAATGATAATAATAATAATAATAATAATAATAATAGTAATAATAATGCCAGCGCGCACGGTGTGCCAAACTTGCAAAATCCGCCTGGCCACACCCAGTTGGCAAAGCGCAGGTGCGCTGCGCCTCCGCCTCGCCCGGTCTGTGAAACTAGAGGCCCATGGCTGCGAATGATGTTGCCAAGGGGGAGCTAGACTCACAAGTCAGTCTTTAGACGCTTCGCTTAACTAAAGACTGATGTCTTTCTCCCTGATTTTGTGTTTAGATGGGCGGATACAATTTCAGAGTTAAAAAAAAACTCCCTGCGTTGCAGAACCAATAGTAAATCCGCAGGGCGGTCCTTTGGTGGCTCGCTGAACTCTTATGCTCGTAAACATACTCCAACTGCATTAAAAGTTTTAAACAAAGTCTCTGTAAGTCCTTCATTTCCACAATCTTGTGGACTGAGCACACATTTGATAAAATGGAGTTAAATCTCTCAGCATCCATTTTCAAGCTCGGACGAGAAAAGTGGGAGCACACCTTTCCGGGAGGGCGTGTCATTTTAAAAAATGCAAGAGGCGTTGCTTTGTTGCCGGCCGTTTTCTCCAGTGTGTTAAACACTAGAAAGGAGTGTCCCCAGACTATCAGTAGGCGGAGATCTCTGATTGTCTGGAGAGACTAAAGGGGGAGCATGTCCCCTAGTGATTGATTTGAATGGAGCTTTCAGGGTATCTTTTAGGTGCTAATGTGGACATTTCCTGCAAATTTCCTGAAGGTTAGCCCAATGGCTGTGGAGTTAGGCTTATTGATTTACTGGGCCACACCCTTTTAAGTGAATTGGTATTGGTGTACAATATTTTCAAAATATAATTATATACCAATAAGCTAATAATAACTTTTGATAAGCTAGGTTTAGTAATGATTCACAGAGAACTTGGTACAGATCGGACGTAGGATTTAGGAGAAGAGAGAAGAAGTTCAAAATGGTGGAAAGTCTAGTCTCGTGGACTTAAATGATTCTTGAGGCACATTTGTAGAGTGAGTATTAGATGAATGTCTGTACCAAGTTTGCTGTAAGTCATATTTAAGGCGTAGGAGTTATGACTTTTCAAAACTGATTTCCCTCCATTAGGCTGATTACGGTCATATTTGTTGAGAAGTAAATATGTGTTTCCTTGGCAGTGTCACTCCATGAAAAGTCAAAATTTTCATTGTTAAGGTCATAAGATTGTACTGACCAAATCTGAAGTCAGTCTAATTAGTTACTAGTCCGTGTGTTATTGTACTCAACAAGGCCTCATATAATATATGTCTGCACTTGTGTTTAATGTGATATCAGAGAGAGCAGTTCTGAATATCTTTCTGCAGTTCTTGATTAGAATTTACCTTTTGTTGTTCAGGCTTTTGGAAATCACGAGTTTGATAATGGAGTGGAGGGACTCATGAGACCGTTTTTGGAGCAGATCAATTTTACAGTTCTCAGCGCCAACATCAAAACAGACAGAACTCTGGCTTCAACTTTTGGCAGCTCTTATTTACCTCATAAGATCCTTACTGTTGGCAGCGAGAAGGTGGGAGTGATTGGATACACAAAAAAGGAAACTGTAATTTCAAAGCAGGATGAAAGCTGAAGTGTTTGGGGCACCATTATCTGCTCAGATTCAACCAAATGCTTCAAAACTCATTGGACGATGCTTCACAGTGCAGTTGGACAATGACCTGAAGCATACTGCAAAAGCAACCGAAGACATTTTTAAGGCAAAGAAGTGGAATGTTCTGCAATGGCCAAGTCATATCATCTGACCTGAATCCAACTGAGCATGCATTTCTCTTGCTGAAGCCAAAACTGAGGGCAAAACACCCAAAACACAAGCAGGAAGTGCTGCAGTAAAGGGCTGGCAGAGCATCACCAGGAAAGAAGCCCAGCATCTGATGATGCCTATGTGTCCAACACTTCAGGCAGTCATTGACTGTAAAGGATTTGCAACCAAGTATTAAAACTGACTGTTTAATTGATGATTATGTTAGTTTGTCCAAATACTTATGAGCCCTTAAAGTCGGGGGACTGTGTGAAGAAATGGTTGTAATTCCTACACGGTTCATATTACATTTTTGAAAAAAGCCTTAAATGAAAGCTGAGAGTCTGCACTTTAAGCAGGTATTCATTGTTTCATTTAAAACCCATTGTGGTGGTGTACAGAGCCAAAATGATGACAACTGTATCATTGTCCAAATAATTATGGACCTGACTGTATATATTTTGTGACTGAAACAATGTGTCTTTAATATGATTTTGCGTGACTTAACATAATTAGATGTTAATGAGACTGAGTATTTCATTTGATAATAATGTTTGGAATCTAGAAAGTGATGTCAATCATCTTTTTTTCAGTAAATGTTGATTTGCTTAACTTTGCAACGCTCTGCAGTTTATTGGGTCACACTAGCACTCGTATTCTAATCTACAGCATATGTTTAATCAAGGTGTGTTTCTGCATTACATAGCATTGAATGAAAATAGAAAAATAAATGCAAATACCAAACAGCTCACAAGAAGTGACTTCGAATGAGATTGCTGTGTGTCTGCATCCCCGCAGCATTGGGTTGTTGCTCCATACAAGGGGGGGCAGGTCGGCGTTCTCCTCCGGCATGGCATTATGCTCCAGCCCGTGTTGCTTGGCGATGTTATTGTTGCTTGGTGATGTTATGTAGCATGCAGCAGGTCACTACAATCTGGGCCACTTTTTCTGGCCTGTACAGCGGTGCTCCTCCAGTGCGATCCAAACAACGGACCCTGCTCTTCAGGATTCCAAAGGTGCGCTCCACAATATTCTGTGTGCGGATATGGGCCTAGTTGTACTTTATCTCTCCGGCAGTGGTCGGGTTGAGAACAGGAAGGGGTGTAGGGGGTGTGCACTATCACCTTAAAAAACATATGCATCAATATGAAACACTCTCTTGTTTTTAATGTAATTATTTTACAAAGGATTTTACAAATTGACTCACCTACAAACCAGCCATCTCCAAACTCGCCATCTCGCAACTTGGAAAACAGAAAACTGTTTCTCAGAATAAAAGAATCGTGTACTGACCCGGGATATTTTGCCACAACGTTGGTAATGATGCCTTTGGCATCACAAATGCACTGCACATTCAATGAATGCATGTGTTTGTGATTTCTGTACTCATTCAAGGAGTGCCGAGTGCGTGGAAACCTAATAAACCTGGCCATCCGGCGCAACATGGCATTTAGGACTTCAGACAGCACATCTGAAAAACGGGATTGGGAGATCCCAGCTGTAATAGCTACCGTACACTGGAATGACCCAGATGCAAAAAAAAGGGAAACTTGCAAGGAGTTTTGTCATTGCAGGTATTGCTTCTCGTGGCTGGCTCCGAATCCGCTCTGAGTTCCTCCAACAGTTCCAAAATGGCAATGCTGGATAGGCGATATGTTTTAATGATTGTTCCCTCATTTCATTCCTTTGACATGTGTTAAATATAGTTGCAGTTTCTATTTGCAAAATTGCTTTCAGGTTTGATAAATCACTTTGCATGTGCTAAATTAATATATTTACATCTTCTCCTCCCAGCACATGCACAATTGCATGTAAACGACCTGTATTGCATATTCATTGCAGCAAACATACTAACTGGATGCAGACACACTATTTTGCACCTTTGAAAGACGCAACCCTTAGTGCGCACTGTTAGTAAATCAGTTTGTACATTTTTTTTGCGTGTGCAATGAGTTTGCACACGTTTTTATACACGCAAACCTTTAGTGGATCCGGTCCATAGTCTAAAAAATGTGCAGGAAAAAAGCTTCCTGAGAGAAGTGCTAAAAATTTGGGGCATAGAATTCCCAGGATAAGTTATGTGTTGCCTAACTAGAAAACAGTGTTTAACTAGTGGAATAATTGATTTAACAAAAGGATTGGTAATGTAACAGAATAAAAGCACTCGACAAGACTGAAACTTGATGACAAAAAAACCTTCTTGTTTCAGCAGGGTTGCAAATCTAATTAACTTTAGGATGCAGAGTTTTTTGCACCTGTGTGTCTTATCCAACCCTGGATAGATTGGATAGACACAACACTATACGCAACCACCATTGGTGAAATGCTGATGTTGTCAGTTCATTGGAGGATGACCTGATCTTCAACAATGGGGGTTCGATTTTCCCTCACATGGATAGTATTACTCTCAATCCCCATATTTCCCAGTGCAGTCTCCTACTCAGCTGTGAGAAGGCTCTGCCTACCTCCGACTGATGGACACTCTTAGTTACGGACCTCTGTTCATCATACAGATTCAGTCTACATGCGCATCATTATAGTATCACAGTACCAACCGGCAAACAACGGATGCAGCTGTGTAATGGTTAAGGTTGGGTTGCGCTAGCTAGCTAATTTCTGTCTTATTTGTGATCTGATAAACAGTAAATTCCTCAAATTCAGTGGCCCATATCATAAATGCTGAAAAAAAGAGCAGGGACGTCAAACTCATTTTAGTTGATGGGCCACATATACTGTTTCTCCACTCTTGCTGGCTTGCCCTGACTTGGTATGACTTGGCATGTCAGCCCAGCACAGCAGGGATTTTTTGTCTGTATTACAACAGGGCTATCTGCTGGAAGGTTTGTCTTTAACTGGTTGTCTTTAGTTATGACATTTAAAAGCAGCAGGCTGACCCATAACGAAGGCCCCTCATTATTTTGCTGCAAGTGTTTTCTGTAATGCAGCAGGGCAGGTAAAAGAAGTTTACCTGTTGGAGGTGAGCTGTTTACAGAGGTGCATTAAGAGCCTGTTGTCTGCAGCATTTTATCTTCTCACTGTGGCTGTTTCTGCTTGGATTTGTCCTCCCCGCGGTATTAGTAGACTTGTTTTTAATGAAGAAAGCTGCTAACGAAGTTCCACTAATTTGTCGATGAACACATTTTATTTCCTATAGATTCTGCAATAAATGTCCCTCATTATTTTGTTATCTAAAAGCTTTAGTTATGGAGCAGAAAAATAAGGAAATGTTACGTTTTCATCAGCAGTAACTTAACGTAAATACTATAGAGCTGAAAGTGAAGATGATAATTAAAGAAGGTATCTAAAAGTAAAAACAGGGATGCAGGACAGATACTAAATTCCAAACCACAGAGATTCAGTTAGAAGCTACAAAGGTATTGAGAGCTGAGACTTTAAAAACATTGTTCTCTCTGGTCTCCTGCACAGATATGAATTGAGTATAGCAACACACACTTGTTTGAGGGGAGAAGGGGGTTGTCAGGGGTAGGTGAGATGTCACCGCTACCCACTTGGAGGCAGTCGGGCGCACTTTTGGCCCTACTCCAGAGATTGTCCATCTTGAGCACAGTTCAGCTTGGCATGTTAAAACTGGCCAAGGAAATGCAAATTAGCGTGCCATGGTTTGACTCAGCGCGGCCAAAACTGCCAATGTCAAAACCCAAGTACAACCCAATTTTATCTCACGTGGGCTGAACCAGGAAAACCATTGCATAATAACCCGCAAATAAAAGAACTCCAATTTTATTTTGTTAAAGAAGTACAACTACATAATTAAAATGTTCGTCGATTTACAAAACAGATGATGTACAACATGTTGAATTTTTTTCCCAAGGAGAAAGAACACTGGGGCTCGTTTGCCAATCACTTTATAGCCAACATTACAAAGCAACCAACACCAGATCCATGCAGTGTAGCTTAGTTACAGATAGCTGGCTAACCTTAGCTTGTTTGCTCTCTAACATTATCATTGCACATTTGTTTAAAAGTGCCTCCACCAACTACATACAGTATGCAGACTACTACAAAAATTGTCAACAGAGAATTGCGTAAATCATTCAGGAGATAAAGTCGTCATTTAAACTGGCGTGTGAAAAAAAACAAAAAAAAAAAACAAAACAATATCAAGTGGGTCGAAAGAGGGAGGTAACAGAAAATCAACTACTAAGTTGAAGTAGGGTGAAATACACAAACAAATCCAGATTTTGTACCTCAGAAGAGAGAAGAATTATAAACAACTCACTTATGAAAAAGCAACAAACCCACTGTTTATTTGGCTAAAGGCTCCAAAAATCTGAGACTCGGTAGATTCTAATATGGTTCAAGATATGGATAAAGTCAAGTTTTACAAATTAAATGCAAGAACTGCTACCTGAAAATATCAAACTGTTTCAATAAAGAGAAAATCAATATGACTTGAGAGGAATAGACATGTTTAAAAAAAGGAAAGGGTCAGGACTGACAATGTTTCCAAATGTAGACCGACCCTCTCTGTCCATGTTTCTTCTACAGGACCACACCTGCAGTTCGAGGACGAGGTGACTGCCGTGCGGCGGCAGGTGGTTGAACTGCAGAAGCAGGGAGTCAATAAGATCATTGCACTGGGTCACTCAGGCTTTGATGTGGATAAGGAGATCGCCAAGAAGGTCAGCGGAGTCGACCTTGTCATCGGTGGACACAGCGACACTTTCCTCTATACAGTTACAGGGGTGGATACAGCTGTTAGTGTCTGTGGTAGGAGTACTCACATCCTTTAACTTTTGTAAAAGTAGAAATAACACAGTCTAAAAAAACTCCAGTATGAGTAAAAGTCCTGTATTGAAAATGTTACTCAAGTAAAAGTGTTTAAGTGTTATCAGCAGAATGTACCTAAAGTATCAAAAGCCGACACACAGTAAAGTTTACAACATACATCTGTTCACACATTATTCCAGGATGAATGAGGACGGCCCGTTGATTACCACACCCGCCTTTGCCCCCCCCCCCTCTCTCTCTCTCTCTCTCTCTCTCTCTCTCTCTCTCACTCACTTCGGACGTCCGAGCACTATTACTGAGTGCACATTTTAAGTTTACAATGTAGATTAAAAAAATAATCAATAGGTTGATCTATAATGAACAGATTTAGTTGAAGCCATAGCATTATTGGGCATTTTAATAAACGCTGTAGATTTCATCACAGTCACTGTATCTATCTTTCTTTCTGACCTTTATTTTTCAGGATCCCCTCCCTCTACTGAAGTCCCTGCTGGTCCTTATCCACTCATGGTGCAATCAGACGACGGGCGGCAGGTTCCTGTTGTGCAGGCCTATGCCTTTGGAAAATATCTGGGTTATCTGAAGGTGACCTTTGATGATAAAGGCAATGTAGTAAATAGAACAGGAAACCCCATCCTGCTGGACAGCAGCATCCCACAGGGTAAAGACACCAAAACAAAATCCGCCTCTCTTGTTTTCTATTCAGTTTTTGTCTCAGTCTGATTCCTCACAGCTTTTTGACGTTACTTTGTTCCTGTTGGGCGTTTTATTCCCTCTTTATGTTGTAGGGAGAAATACTTTCCTGAAGTCCTTTTCAGACATGACATACATAACTTCATCTGACTCAGGTGGTGGGAAACACTCTGGTCTTCCTGAACGCGTCACGTGAGGAGTGTCGATTTGGGGAATGCAACATGGGGAACTTGATCTGTGATGCTATGGTACATATTTAATGTTGACATCTGTAGCAGTGCAGAGAACATAAAATAAAGGGACTGCAAATGAAAATTAGCTTCAAAGGAGCAGTGTGTAGGATTTAATGGCATCTAATGGTGAGGCTGCAAATTACAACCAACTGAATATTAAGTAGTAGTAGTAGAGTAATAGCCTGAATGCAGTGCTGTATCATTTCCAAACTCAGATCTATTTAGTGGTGTAATGTAACCAATTAGTAACACTTTGTTACAGCACTTAAGTTTTTTTCAGGGAATACCTGTACTTTACTTGAGTTTTTATATTTCTGTCAACTTTGACTTTTACTCCGCTACATTTCCGAAAGCACATGTATACTTTTGCTCCAAAACATTTTGCCAAAGCATCTTTGTTACTTAGCTACTACAACAATACAATCAGAAGGTTTGGCCATTTGAGTGGTCCTAGCTTGTGAGTAAGGTCATAGGTTAATCACGGAAGGGCAAGATAATACAATAAGGTACTCTCAAGCTAGGTTTCGATTTACAGTCAAATCCAGACTGCATGCCAGATTAGATGCTACATGCCAGTGACTACATGAGTAGAATTCCACTGGACAATGAGACCAACTTCATGATGGAAGCAGAAAGTAACTCCCCACAGCAGAGAGGGAGAATAGTGATTCAAAGAGATAAATATTTTTGACAGGTAACTGTGCAGTAACGGCTCCACTGCAGTGTGTCAGTCCTTTTCTCTAAGAGTAATGTACGCTCCTTTTTTAAGGTTTTGTACATGTTAAGAAGAAATAACCTTCATGATTGTAACATTTCTGAATGCTTGCTTTTTTATGTACAGCATTGTACTTTTACTCTCAATACTTAAGTAAAGTGGCCCTTTCATACAAAACCATTTCAGAAAACATTACATTTCACAAAACACAAAAATGTTTTACAAAACACAACAACACTTCCCAAAGCACTTTAGAAAGCACTAAAACATTTTGGAAAACACTACAACATTCCAGAAAACCTTACATATTTCAGAAAACACTACAATATTTCACAAAACACAAAAACATTTCACAAAACACCACAACATTTTGGAAAACACAACAGTTCATAAAACACTTCAGAAAACACAACATTTACAAAACTCTACAGCATTTCACAAAACAAAACAAAAAAATTACATTTCAGAAAACACTAAAATATTTCACAAAAACATAACGTTTCAAAAACCACTATAACATTTCACAAAACACCGCAACATTTCACAAATGTTTTCTATTTGTAAGACTTGTCCGACATAGCAACAGTAACTAAGGGGTGGGACTTAGGTTCGGTCAATTGTAAATCAATGTTACCACGAGAGGTCCTTGAGCTTGCAGTCATAAATGTGCACACAGATATAAGGTTACTCGGCCCAGTTGTGTGCAGAATTAGTGCGGGCAGACAGATACATATACACACACTCAAACATTCATGTATATACATGACCAAACACCATTCCTCCAGGCTTACGCATAGCGGAGATAATAATACATCCATGGATTAGGCAAAGTCTAGTGGAAAACGTAGTTGCAGGTGACTTCTGGATTTAAAATTAAGCATTTGAAAGTTAAAACTAAAACTGCTAAGTATTTATTTAAACTTAGAAATGAAATGATGAAAAACACTGATAGCAAACTATGCAAATAGGGCCTCCCTGCACCTTTTTTGGAGATAAGTTTCAGGGGTATTGAAGGGGATTGAATGTGGATTGGAGAAATGAGGACACACACACACACACACACACACACACACACAAACTGCTTTCCTAATTATAGTAGTAGGATAAAAATAAAAGCCCTGTGTGACTGAGACAATCTGTTTCTCACTTCCTTTTTTCAGGTCGACAACAACATCAGGTTCTCAGACAGTGTTCAGTGGAACCACGTCAGTGCCAGCATCATCAACGCAGGAGGCATTCGCAAGTCTATTGATGAACGTACCAGAAACGGTGTGTCACTCATTTTTATGGAAGAAAAATTAAAACAGAAAGATATTAAATAATCTGAGCCAGAAAGTGCCAGGAAAAACTGAGATGATTTTGTGTTGAAAAATAAATGTACTCAGTCTGTCCTCTCTTCTCACCAATTACTCTACAGTATACCAAGAATTAAGAAAATTGTCTCAGCCCGAAACTAAACGTGGAGAATTCAGCTATATTTTCTACATATCTGAAACAACCAGAACCTCAAAAAACAGTGCTGATGTGTTGTCTGCAGGTTCAATCACCATGGAGGACGTGATCGCCGTCTTACCATTTGGAAATACTTTTGACCTGCTGGAGCTGAATGGATCGACACTGTTTAAAATCTTTGAACACTCATTGAAACAGTATGGCCAGGACCCAGGAGAGTTCCTCCAAGTATCAGGTATCTTTCATTTTTTTCATTGTTTTCATCTGTATATATATATTATAAACAGATATTAGGACTTCAATCTATTGTGAAGAGAAGATGATGCACTTTCTGTAGTGATTACATTTCTTCACCATGAAAGGATGATGTGAAAAAGTCACATAACCTTGTAAAACAAAGTGGGGTTTTTTCTACATTTACAAAACATTGGTTTTTGTTTAAAATAAATGAATGAGATAATAACCTGTTAATTAGAGAGCTTTAGAGCTACTGGTAGGTGGATTTTGTCTTACTGTCATACTCTGCTACTGACATAGTTCAGTTGGTACCACAAAGACATTCAAGGATGATTCTCAGTCATGTATTGATGGATAAGTTTAATGTCCTCAAACAGGAATTGAATTAGAGTTTGACCCCTCTAAACCTGAGGGGAATCGTGTAAAGAGCCTCAGCATCCTCTGCGTGCAGTGTCGAGTTCCTCGCTACGAACCTGTTCAGCCCGAGATGGTTTATAAAGTGGTGATGCCATCCTTCATAGCGCAGGGTGGAGATGGATTCTCCATGATCCCAGACGAGAGGCTCAACCACGACACCGGTGAGACGTTTGTTTGGTTGATAAATTTTGTAAGGCTATTGTTCATTTGAGTTTGACTTCATTTTAGTATTTTATTTCCTTCCAGGGAATTTGGACATTTCAGTCCTGTCTGAATACATCATGAAAAATCAGAAACTTTATACACCTCTTCAAGGACGCATTAAGGTCCTCAACTCAACTTCTGGACAAACTACTTCACTGAGCAACTCAACTTCTGGACAAACCACTCCTCTCAACTCAACCTCTGGACAGACCACTCCACTCAGCAGCTCAGCTCTTGGACAAACCACTCCACTGATTATTCTGGTCTCACTTGGGCTGCTGTGGTCTCTGTGTGGGAGCATGGAAGGCTGACTTTAACCAGAAACACAACTTAAACTCTTTCTCTCCTAGTGGAGCACAGGTCATCCACAATTCTTCTCCAGTGCTCACTGTTTTGGGACACTTTCTGCAGTTCCATCTTTACTTCATTTCCTTGGCCTCTATGTCTTGTTGACCTTCTCCAGCTGATTCTGGGTCTTCCTTGTTTTCCCTTTTGGGTTTCATTTTAGAGCCTGTCTGGTTAAACTGATTATGGGCTGTGTCTGATCCAACACCACTTCCTTTTCCTCATGTGGGTGTCTGTTCTCTCTTGGTTTGCTTCCTCCCATACATGTTTATTTCTGATGGTGTTTGGCCAATGTATCCTACAGATTTTTCTTGGGCACTTGGTGTCAAAGGTCTGGACTTTGTTGGTGGAGGATTTTGTTATTCTCCATGTTTCTGAACCATGGAGCAGCACTGATTGAACATTGGTGAGTTTGGTGAGATGGGCCTCAGTGTAACAAAAGCTGTTCTAAGCTTCCCAAATTGGGCTTGAATGTCTGCATCTGTCCCTCCACCCTTGCCCACAACACCTGAGTTAGGTGAAGTTGGTAACGTCTTCTAGCTCTGCTACAGTCAGATGGAGTCATTGCTGGTGATGTTGGTGTGCATTACTCTGGTGTTGTCTATGTTGATGGTGAGGCCTTTCTTGGCAGATGTTGTTGCTAGCAGGTCTGTCTTTGCTTGCATCTGTGGGTGGGTGGATCATGTTAAGGCTGTGTCATCTGCAAAGTCCAGATCATCTAGCTGGGACCACAGCATCCACTGTATTCTCTTGATCTTCTCATGATCCAGTCCACTGCCAGGAGAAAGGGCAAGGGGGACAGCAGGCAGTCTGTCTGACACCAGTGGCCATGGAAAAGGTTCTGTGAGGCCGCTATTGTGCACTGCTCTACATGATGAGTGTTGGAACATCATCTGATGAACTTTGCTGTATGCCGTGACGTCCCACGAGAAGCCCAAAGGGGGTTTAGGTCCAAGCTGTCAGAGGCTTTCTGAAAGTCTGTAACTGTGATGTAAAGAGATGTGTTCCAGAAACAAGAGAGGACAGAAAATGTTTTTTCAAACAAACTGGACATGAACTTGAACTAACAGGACCAGTGAATGTAATGGGACTGAAAATCTCCCTTCTGAAAATAAGATTTTGATTTTACTTTTCATTTTATCAAGCAGGAGATCCTTACATGTCTTTCTTGAATCATGAAATAAAAACACTCTTAACATAGTAGTTAAGATCTTAGATTTTAAATTTTACTAGTTTTAATGTTTCTGTGGTGGCAATTTTAAAAATATTGATGCATCACAAAGGTGTTATTGCTTTAAAATGAACATGGTTTGAGTCATTAGCTTGACTGACTGGTAATTTAGTTCACTCATATATTTGATTTATTCCACTAAATTATGTACATATGACTTCTTTTGCACAGTGACTGTTTATTTCTTCACTGTAGTTCATTTTGCATGAATATCTTGCATGTTAATATTGGACTTGCTGTTGAGTAGGGTTGCCCCCTGAAAGTTGAAAAATAAAATACTTACTGGTTAATGCTAATACATAAATGTAGGCACAGAGGAACAATGGAGTAACAAATGGGAGTTTTAGAAAAAAGGAGAAATTACTTATATTCTTAGTAATTTATATGTACTGAGAACGTATGTTTTTTTTTTAGAGGAATTACTATATTCTAGGTACTTTGTAACTAGATATGAGATATTTTAGAGGAACGGAGAAACTACTTTTACTGTAAGTATTTTGCAAGTACTAGGTTTTTACGGGTTATTTTAGGGGAAAAGGGAAATTACTTGCAGTGTAAGTCTTTTTTTAAGTACTGGGTACCTTCAGGGTACACTAATGTTACAGAGCTTAACAACTGAAAACAGTGACATCCTGTGGTAGTGGTATAGTATAAGGTATTTCACAGTTGATGTGCTATGAAAACTTAATATTGACTGGTTATGGATAAAGTAGTCTGCAATAAAAACAACTTCTGCCCTTAGTAATAGTCTATAAGTTTCTGTAGTTTACATTCCAGGGATTTATTACATTGTCTACTTCATAGTGTTTTGGAATAAAAAAAAGTTTGTTGTAGAGCAGAGTAAACAATCAGCAGATGTGACCCCTGCTAGCTAACTTATGAATAGCTTGTCGGCCATGTTGTTGCTCTGCTCTCCCTGCTCCAGTTTTAGCTGCTCTCTTTCAACCTTGTTAGGCTGAAAAATAAAACGAGCATGCAGGCTGAAAGTCATCATGCTTTTCTGTCAGGAGATGCAGTGACTGAAACCATAGAGGGGTGATTCAGAAAACATATAGATAATGATTTGCTGAGTCGAGGAAAACTCCACTAGTCACTAGGCTAATTTACGCGATGTTAAATGCCATGGGCTTATACAATGCTCAAGTCTAATCTCAATGCGCTTTTACATACAATGTGTGAATAAAAACATATTATGTCTTGAGAGTAATTCATCCCCCGCCCACCCACCTGCACAGAAATACCCGATCACACATCCCCAAAAGAGAACACTAGAGAGGAGAGGAAGAGAGAGAGACTTAAGGATGACACAGTTGCAGAGAATCTCACATCATCAGGCAGTTTGTTCCAGAGAGTGGGGCCAACTGAATGCACCTTCAACAAATTTATTATGGAGACCAGTGTCTGATGATCTGAGGATTCTGGGGGGTATGTAGGCGGTGAGCAGGTCAGATATATTTAGGAGCCAGACCAGTAAGTGCTTTGAGAACAGTGAGGAGTATTTTTAAATCAATTCTGTATTTTATCGGAGTATGGGAGTAATATGTCCTGTTATTCTAGTTACAGTCAGCACTCTGGCTGCAGCATTTTGAGTAAGTTGGAGCCATCTCACAGTCTTTTTGGGGAGTCCGGCAAGAAGGGTGTTACAGTGAGCTAGTCTGGAGGAGATGAAAGCATTAACCAGTTTGTCAGCGTCTGACTGAGACAGGGTGGATCTAACTTTGGAAATGTTTTTAAGGTGGTAAAATGCTGTCTTTGTGTTACTTGTAATATGGCTTGTAAAGTTGAGTTCTGGTCCATGATAACGCTTACATTTCTGACCTGCTCACTGGGTTTTAGTTTAGAACTGATCTCCTCCCTCTGATGTTTGGCCCCCACCACATCTTCATCAGAGGAGGAGAAAAAGAACATGACAAAGAAAAGCAACAAAACAACCCAATTTGAAAGCAAAGAAGTAATACATAATAAATAACAGTACTTAAAGGGCCAGTGTGTAATATTTGGCATGGTTTATTGTTAAATCTGAATCTGAATCTGAATCTTCTACCCATTAATATGTTTATACAAGTGTATAATCGCTATAAAATAAAATTCGTTTGGTTTTCGTAGCCTTATAATTATGCTTTTATATACATATATATATAGCAAGGGCCTTGCTTTAGAGAGGTCGCCATCTTGCGCCGCCACGTATGTAAGGCAGCCCGAGCGGACAATCCAGCCAGCCAGAGAACGCGTTTGACGTGTATAAATAAACCAACGAAGACAGCGGAAGGAAGGAAGGAAGGAGGAAGAAACAGCAGAGAGTGTTAGTAGTTCGTCGATAGAGAGTAGTGAAAAGTTTTTTTAGTTATAAAGTTTGCGAATGGACCACACTTACCACGCAACAGGAGAGAATGAACCCAAACTGTCATCTGCGAGGAAAAGAAGACACAACTTCACTCTTTGTGATGCACTATCTGCGGAGCTTTTCCTCCTGATGATATATCTACCCAACGATGGTAGCAGTAGCACCGAATCCCATTCTGTGCAGCAAAATGGGAGCGGAGGATTCAGCCTCTCTTCTCGCCTGCTCAGTGTACTCCGGCTCTCATCTGTGTACTCCGGCTCAAACAGGTATGGCTCTGGATCTGTGTCCGCTACAAGAAACTCTTCAGTACATCTCTCTTCATACAAAATACATTTCTGATATACTTGTACGTTATGAAGCATCCAGACCCCTCAGATCATCTGGAACAGGTTTACTCAGTGTTCCCAGGATCAAAACCAAACAAGGTGAAGCAGCCTTTAGTTTCTATGCTCCCCGCATGTGGAACAAACTTCCAGAATATCTGAGATAGGCTGAAAATGTCAACTCATTTAAATCAGGGCTTAAAACATTACTATTTACTGCAGCTTACCAGCGAACTAGATATGTAACTTATTGTTAGGATAATCTGTAGCTATGGTTTTTATATTTGTCTGCTGTTGCTTTTGCTTTATGTTTGCTTTATAAATGCATTTTCTGCACTGTTTTAACTATTTATTGTCTTGCTTTTAGCTTTTGTTTTTAATTATCTATTGTTCCTTTAATGTTTTATTTTAATGTATTTCTCTTGTAAAGCACATTGAATTGCCTTGTGTATGAATGGTGCTATATAAATAAAATTGCCTTGCCTTGCCTTCAAAATTGTGTTCAAAGTCGTCCATTGCAGCTACTATAGTCCGGAGATATCGCTAGGCTAAATAAACAGCTGAGCTCTGTTTACCGGCTACCCTGTCAGTCAGTGTGTGGGCTGGAGATTGGCGGAGCAGAGAGGGGAGGGGGTCCCCGCTAGGTATTGTAAACGAGTATGTGTGTATGATGTGTGTGTGTTACGCTAGAAGAGTCAGAGTTTGGGACGGAGTCTTTTACCCCCTGGAGTGTTACCGGAGTTTTTGGAGTGCTCAAATTAACTGGCCTTTTTCCCGAACGCTCCTCTGGTCTCCTGCTCGTGAGGGATTCATTACAATATCGTAACATGGTTTAGATTTCTAAATAAATATTCACCTCGTCGCTAGATAGACCTACTCCTGAAAAACTCGTGCACAAGGCTTTTTGTGCCTACGAGGCCACCGTCATTTACCCGATGGGAGGGGTGAGCGAGTGAGCCCAGCCCTGCAATCTAGAATTTGACCACTGATGTCACTGTTTTCAAGCCATTTTACACACTGGCCCTTTAAGAAATGAAGATCAGTAAATAACATAATAAAACCTTTTTTTTGTGTCACCCAGCATGTCTTATTGTTTGTGTACTCGGAAAGCAGGAATGAAAAAAACAGCCCATTCTTTGCTGTTAATGTGTAAATAAGTTAGTGAGAATGGAAGAAGAGTGGAATCTTCATTAAATAGCCTGTGGCTCCATTCATACAGTGTGAGTATAGACCAAGGAGAGTGTAAGAAGAGGAAACTGTTTATAATTTTGCCTATGCCCTTGTTGGGAATTACAATAGTAGCCTCACGGGGGGACGACAAACATGTTGGGAACAACACTGGGGGTCACACGGAGGCACCAAAAATGTAGGGAATCAACTAGACGGGGATACTTTTGTTTGGAATCTATATCAATACTATGTGTCACACGGGGACACCCAAAATGTTGTGATCTAGGCACCAGTGCTATGTTTACATGGTGGCGCCATTTGTTGGGACTTAAGCCTTAACAATGACCTGACCTCGTGATAGATCTCCAATTAAAGTATTGAATTGGCTTCCTGAAATAATTAATAATTATTAATAATAATTATTAATTGTGTTAAATAATATGGCTTCATTTACATTAAATCACCTCATGGGGCACCATTCCTGAAAAGGGAAAAATGATAGCCAGTTAAAGATATCAGTCTCATAAAGTTTACTAAATCTATCAATTTGGAATTTTGATTGATAATTAAATTAATAACTATAACCCAAATTACTACATTAATAGTAGGAGGATTTCGGAGTTCTTGACGTAGCAGAGGTTGACTATTCATTCGGGAAAGAAGGCTGGAAAGAGCTGTGGTTCCAGATGCAGTCTTTGTTGTGTCCTTGTTCCAAAGGTGCTGATCCCAGGAAGCTGGTCGCTCAGGGTCCTTGCAGAGTTAGACGTTGGGGTGCTAACTCAACTTGGTTCTCCTTGTTGCTGGAAAGTTAGTTGCAAATCTTGTGTTTGCACACTAATTTCTCTGGTTTCCAGGTTTTGGCCCTGCTGTGGGCATGCAGGTTATGGTCCAGGAGAAAGAGAGCAAAAGTCTGTAGAGCAATTACCCTCCCTTTAAATGGTCCAGGGGCAAGAGCTTCTGAGCTGGTCAGCAGCTCCGCAGGGAAGAGGTCTGGGCTGGTCAAGGGTCTAGGAGCAAGAGAGAGCAAGAAGAGGAGAGTGTAAGAAGAGGAAACTGTATACTTTATAATACTGCCCATGCCCTCATTCTTACAGTGTAAGTAGTGTGAGGGCCTCCTTCTGTCACAACTTTATAATACTGCATGTGCCTGCAATCGTAGGATAAGAAGAGGGTAAGAAGAAGAAACTGTGGATACTTTATAAACCAGCCTGCACCCTTAACTTTACAGTGCAGCAGGAATAAGAGCAGCACATACGTGGTGTTACTGTCTAATTACACTGCTCTATTACTGTATTATGTTTCTCGTACTTGGATGACAATGCAAGCTTACCATAACTGTGCACCTAAGAAAGGTTAATTTGGTCTCTGCTCTAGCCTACCCTTTATGAGCTGCTGTAGTGCTTGATGAACAAGCCTGCTCAGAAGTAATTTTCAAAAATATCAACCAATTTCTGAAAGTTCTTTACTTGTTATGTCAAATTATAAAATTAAGCAGTGGCAGTAGGCATAACACAGCCTTGGAATGAGGGTGTAACTTTGCTGTGAGAGGCACACCTTTAGGAAACATTTACCCTAGTTGCTGTATACAAAGGGCAATAGTTTCTGCTTTTATTGTATGTCATCTATTGGTATTTTCCATTTTGGTAGTACATCACAATTGTGAAATATGCCATACCATAATTAGTTTAGAGTTACCCAGTAAGTACCCAGTACCTAGAAAATACAGGGTTCCCACGGTCATGGAATACATAGAAAAGTTATGAAATTAGTAAAAATGATTTGATCTTTGAAAAAGTCACAAAATTATGATGTGTGTAATGAAATTAATTGTTACAGTAATCTTCTATGGCTAACATTCCACTTAATGTCACAAACATAATTTTATAAACTGGAAAAAGGTTTCTGTTACTTGTCATACAATAAGTAACATTTGTAACATTTACTGTACATTTTTGTTTGTGTTATACATTCTAAATTGTCTTTTATTATGGGTCCTTGTCAGCCATGGAAAAGTTTTGAAATTTTGTCCGTGACAGTGTGATGGAACCCTGACAATACTTACAGAATACATAATTTATCTTTTTCTCTACAATACCACATAGGTACCTAGAACTTACAAAATACTTAGAGTTTCAGTCAGTCTCTACAATATCTAAATGTTAGTCCCTTGTTAGGCTGTATCTACATTTGAGTAACAGTAGGAACAGGTAAGTCTTCTATGGGTACTGGTTCATATGAGGATATTACACCTTAAGTTAAGAGGACTATCCTATCTTCCAACTCGATGCTGAAGATGGGTGTGATCATGACATTGTTGCAGCTGGTATTTATGCATTGGTATGTATGTGTGTGTGTGTGTATGCGTGCATAACAATTGAGATCAATTGCCATGGCATGTTGAACAGCATCTTATTTGGCACGAAACATGAAGCAAGAGCTGAAATGCATTTTCAATGCAGTACTTATTCATCCCATTGATTTTAATTAATATACATGGCTTTGTCTTCAGTGATAAAAAAAATATAGATCAAGAAGACAACAAAAGAGTTAACAAGTGAACATCCTCCTCCTGTATTATCTCACTTGCATCAGCTTGTGTTGATGTCTCTTCAGTCTTCACCTTGCAGACAAAACTAGTTCATCTAGTTTGGACAATTAGATACCGCAGGTTATAGGCTTACGAACATATGGAAAAAATGTCTTTTCATAAGACGAACCATCATAATAGAAATCCTCCCTGATGCCGTCCTCCTCCTCTTTGCCCGCCTTCTGACATGCTCTGTCTCTCAGTCTGTCCAGTAAATAGTGTCAGCAGGTCTCATTTTATTTATAGAGAGACTTTACGGGAAGCAAAAGGAGTAGAGAGAAGCAAGAAAGAAAAATTCCTGCAGGTCACTTAAGAAAAAACAACTGTCCCTGTTTCCTCCTTCAGTGTTTTTACAGTTGACTGCAGAGAGATGGGAACAATACGCCCGGAGCAGAATGCTCGTCCTTGGCTCTGCCTCCTCCTCCTGCTGGGCTTCTTGGTGTCCACTTCAGCAGCCTGGGACCTGGTTGTACTCCACACCAATGATGTTCATGCTCGAGTGGAGGAGACCAGCGAGCAATCCGGGAAATGCAGCAGCAGCAGTGGGTGTTTTGCCGGGGTGGCCCGGAGAGCCACGATGATCAAGAGGATCCGCAACAACGAGAGCAACGTGCTGCTGCTGGACGCTGGAGACCAGTTCCAGGGGACTATCTGGTTCAACCACTACAAGGGAGCCGAGGCTGCGTATTTTATGAACGAACTGAAGTATGATTGCATGGTAAGAAACACAAAGAGGACCCACTTTAATCTTTGCACAGTTTTATTAACATCGCCAAATCAGTCCTTGTCAAACTTGCTGGAATACAGGAGGCACTCAAGTTATAACTTAAAGCCCCGTTTCCACCAAACAGTCTGGTTCAGTTTACTTTAGTGTGATTCACATTTTTTTTTGTGAACATTGTGAATGTGGATGTTATCAATACAGTCATTCTTTGCCTTCCCCATTTTTCGTCACCCCTCCATAGAAGTACCTACCACACTGATCCGATACTAAAAGGTGGAGCTAGAAACATGGTGGAGCGTTAACTAGTTATTACAGAACCATTCTTGCTCAGGGCTGAGCTGTGGCTGGTTTTGAATCTTTTCATATCATGGCAAGTTTTTCATACATTAGTAAACTATAACTTTAAAATAAGATGATGTTTTTCTACTTTTAGCAGCAGCTGTAAACTGAGGAAATAATAACTTAATTCATTGGGCCGACTGCCAGCAAATTTTTAGGTTTTAGGGCTTACTTGTAATGTGACAGCATACATAAGTTTACGGTGTCACTCCAGCCTGTTATTTTACGTTCTGAAAATCTTGACGTGCTAACCCATTCTATGGACAATAAATGAGTTGCAGACCTACAATATCTAAATGTTAGTCCCTTGTTAGGCTGTATCTACATTTAAGTAACAGTAGGAACAGGTAAGTCTTTTATGGGTATTGGTTCATATGAGGATATTACACCTTAAATTAAGAGGGTTATCCTATCTTCCAACTCGATGCTGGAAGATGACATTGTTGCAGCTGGTATTTATGCATTGATGTGTGTGTGTGTGTGTGTGTGTGTGTGTGTGTGTGTGTGTGTGTGCATAACAATTGGCATCAATTGCCATGGCATGTTGAACAGCATCTTACTTGGCACAAAACATAGTCTCCTAAAGCAAGAGCTGAAATGCAGTACTTATTCATCCCATTGATTTTAATTAATATACATGGCTTTGTCTTTGTTTACGCATGTGTCTTTGTTTACGGTGTGAATATATATATATATATATATATATATATATATATGTATAAGCTCATGGAGAGAATGCCAAGAGTGTGCAAAGCAGTAATCAGAGCAAAGGGTGGCTATTTTGAAGAAACTAGAATATAAAACATGTTTTCAGTTATTTCACCTTTTTTTGTTAAGTACATAACTCCACATGTGTTCATTCATAGTTTTGATGCCTTCAGTGAGAATCTACAATGTAAATAGTCATGAAAATAAAGAAAACGCATTGGTATTAAGAATTGCCAATTGGTTGCGTAGAAAGGAGTCATGTGATCTATTAGCAGTTAGCTGAATTGGCTACTACTGACCAAATCTGAAGTCAGTCTAATTAGTTATTAGTCCGTATTGTACTCAACAAGGCCTCGTATAATGTTTGCACTTGTGTTTAATGTGATATCAGAGAGAGCAGTTCTGAATATCTTTCTGCAGTTCTTGATTAGAATTTACCTTTTGTTGTTCAGGCTTTTGGAAATCACGAGTTTGATAATGGAGTGGAGGGACTCATGAGACCGTTCTTAGAGCAGATCAATTTTACGGTTCTCAGCGCCAACATCAAAACAGACAAAACTCTGGCCTCAACGTTTGGCAGCTCTTATTTACCTCATAAGATCCTTACTGTTGGCAGCGAGAAGGTGGGAGTGATTGGATACACAACACAGGAGACTCCTGTAGTGTCAACACCTGGTAAGTAGTAGTGGAAGTTTTCCCTGTGATATCTCTGTTTGCTTCTAACTCTATTTCATGCTCATTTGAAGGCCTTCAAACTGTAAATATGATGATGATATACACACTGTCTCTTATTTTTATGGTCTACATCAGTAGGACATAGAGTACACTGTTTCCTGTCCAACTGTCACACAAAGTGAAAGGGAATTTTGATATGCTTAAGAAGAGAGGAGAAAAGAGGAAAAGAAAACATGTTGTATACAAGATTGTAGAAGCACAAATCTCCAATAAGCATCGTGCTTCATCTGACAGTGTACACATTAAACCCTTTGAAAAACCTTTGAACTTCACCAAACGTTCCCCTCAAAACCATGTAATCTTAAACAAACTGAAATTGTAAACTCAGAAAACACACACACACAAACACAGACTACGCACTGACTATTCAGATAACCCTTGCAGGACCAGGCAGGTAAGAAAAACTCAAAACAGTAATGTAATAAACTGTATAACTCTTACAGGTCAGAAGGGAATACTACTATATGCTGCTGACCTTTGCAGTTTCACACTGACAAACCATGTAGGAAGACTCAATGCACAGGGAAATACCCAATTTCCATCAGTTGTAGTTCCAGAAGCAGCAAATGAACAGGTTCTTCAGCATCAGGGTTCTCATCATCTTGTCTCAGGTCTGGATCAGGCCATAATGTCAAATTGTTGCACATTTGTTTTGAAGTGCCTCCACCAACTACATACAGTATGCAAACTACTACAAAAAAATGTCAACAACAGAGAAGGGCGTAAATCGTTCAGGAGATTAAGTCATCGTTTAAACTGGCGTGTGAAACGAAAACAGAATATCAAGTGGGTCAAAAGAGAACTACTATGTTGAAGTAGTTGATTCCAATTTTATACCTTAGAAGAGAGAAGAATTATAAACAAAACCACTTATGAAAAAGCAACAAACCCACCGTTTATTTGGCTAAAGGCTCCAAAAATCAGGGACTTGGTAGATTCTAATAACATTCAAGTCATTCATTCATCCTCTTGAGGGTCGCGGGGGGGCTGGAGCCTATCCCAGCTGACATCAGGCGAGAGGCAGGGTACACCCTGGACAGGCTGCCAGACTATCACAGGGCTGACACATAGAGACAAACAACCATTCACACTCACGTTCACACCTATGGACAATTTTAATTAACCTAGTCCCCAATCTGCATGTCTTTGGACTGTGGGAGGAAGCCGGAGTGCCCGGAGAGAACCCACGCTGACACAGGGAGAACATGCAAACTCTGCACAGAAGGGCTCCCACACCCGGGATCGAACCGGCAACCCTCTTGCTGTGAGGCGACAGTGCTAACCACCAAACCACCGTGCCGCCCTGAAGTCTAATTGCTCAAATTAAATGCACAAACTGCTACCTGAAAATATCAAACTGTTTCAAATAAGAGAAAATCACGAGTTGATTATGACTTGAGAGGAATAGGCATGTTAAAAAAAAAAGGGTCAGGACTGACTGGGTTTCCAAATGTAGACTGTCCCTCTCTGTCCATGTTGCCTCTACAGGACCACACTTGCAGTTTGAGGACGAGGTGACTTCCGTGCAGCTGCAGGTGGTTGAACTGCAGAAGCAGGGAGTCAATAAGATCATTGCACTGGGTCACTCAGGCATTGATGTGGATAAGGAGATCGCCAAGAAGGTCAGCGGAGTCGACCTTGTCATCGGTGGACACAGCGACACTTTCCTCTATACAGGTACAGGGGTGGATACAGCTGTTAGTGTCAGTGGTGGGAGTACTCACATCCTTTACTTCAATAAAAGTGGAAATACCACAGATTAAAATAACTCCATTGGGAGTAAAAGTCCTGTTTCCAAGATGTTACTTCAGTAAAAGTACTTATGTGTTATCAGCAGAATGTACTTAAAGTATCAAAGCCTACACACGGTAAAACTTTAAACATATGTCTGTTCACACATTATTCCAAGATGATATCTTAATCACACCATTTAAATAATCTAAATAAGCTACTTTTGTTTTGTGGTTCATTAACAAGTGTAAACAAATGCAAACAGACTCTGTATAACAGCATTTCTATTGGCTGAGTTGTTGTATTAGTGTTAACGCTGAATTTTATTTTAGCTTTAGCTTTTTATTTCAGGCTTTGTTGTCGGTGTCTCGACTCATTAAATAGTAAGACAGAGAGACAAAGACAGAGAGAGATTGTGCCAGTGAGCTGAGAGAAAGAGAGAGGTTGGTGTGTTGCTGTGATAAAGCCAGTGGGTAAGAGAAATACAGTGTTATTATGCCTCTGCGCCGGTGATAACCGTGGCTGGAGGCACTATGTTTTCAGGTTGTCTGTCCGTCTGTATGCACATCTGTCCCATGCTGTCAAGAATGCCTTGAGCAGGTTTCTAAAAATGTGGCACAAATGTCCACTGTGACTCAATGATGAACTGATTAGATGTTGGTGGTCAAAGGTCATGGTCATGGTGACCTAAAAAAAAACAAGTTTTTGGCCGGAACTCAAGAATTCATACACAAATTGTGATAGAATTTCACACAAGTGTCAAACAGGATGCAATGTTGAAGTGGTGACATTTTATATCCAAAAGGTCAAAGGTCAACTTCACTGTGACATCATAATGTTCTGCAAAAACACTTTTCTGGCCATTATTCAACACCATAACTCAGGGACAGAAGGGGAGACATTTGGTCAGAAACTGAATTGGTGACACTAATCATTGGGTGTCCACACTGAAACTGTGGTGATTGTATAGATCTGCTGTGCTGCCGGGTTGGAGATGTTTATGAAGCACCCACATTTTAGAATTCGTAGCTTCTTTGAAGGACCATCCATATTTGAAGGATTGTTAGCTGCCATGGCTTCATATGAGTCAGGACAGACCTGGTTGTAAACTGTAACTGCAACTTTACTGGTTCACAAAAGCATACAGCAGCAAGGCGATACTTTTAGTTTCACAGTGGTTATATTCTAAAGCACAAAAAAACAAAACACTGAACAGATGATATACTGTGGAGACGGACGCTCTCAGCTGCACGGCTGTGAGCTGGTCGTGTCCTGAAGTGGAGTGTTTTACCTGCCTGATTTTGTAGAGTTGCAGATTTTGTTGATTTGGTAATTTTTCCTTGAAATTTGTGCTGCTCCCCTAAGTAAGTCGGTAGGCTACACAATTAAATGGCTTCTTTCTTTGATTATTTTAGTTGTGTTTATTGGTGTTGTCTCCAACTTTGTTTTTCTGTAGCCTGCAGACAAAGTTAATACCATTAGAAGTCCAGCTTCTAATGACATGGATAAAAGATTTGTGGTTGTGTTTTAGTTATTAAAAATACATTCATCCTAATAATTAGACTGTGTCTATATTTCACATACAGTGCCTTTTAGCAGGAAAACACGATCTGCTCTGTGCAACACAACATGGATCCATCATAAATAGATGAGGCGCATATTGTCCTTAGCTTCTGGGATGCTTCTGAAAGGTGCTGCAGTGCATTTCATGAATTGTTTAGAGTGGCCGCGCTCACTTTGGACAGCCGAGCACTATTACTAAGTGCATTTGTTAAGTTTACAATGTAGATTAAAAAAGAATCAATAGGATGATCTGTAATGAACATACTTGGTTGAAGCCATAGCATCATTGAACATTTTAATAAACATTGTAGAGTTCATCACAGTCACTGTATCTTTCTTTCTTTCTGTCCTTTATTTTTCAGGATCCCCTCCCTCTACTGAAGTCCCTGCTGGTTCTTATCCACTCATGGTGCAATCAGACGATGGACGGCAGGTTCCTGTTGTGCAGGCCTATGCCTTTGGAAAATATCTGGGTAATCTGAAGGTGACCTTTGACAATGCTGGGAATGTGGTAAATGCCACAGGAAACCCCATCCTGCTGGACAGCAGCATCCCACAGGGTAAAGACACCAAAACTAAATCTGCTTCTCTTGTTTTTCAGTTAGTTTTTTTCTCAGTCTGATCCTTCTTAGATTTTTGACATTACTTTTTTCCCGTTGGGTGTTTTATTCCCTCTCTTTATGTTGTAGAGAGACATTCTTTCCTAAAGCCCTTTTCAGACATGAAATACATATTACCAGCTTTATCTGTCTCTTATATGAATGACTGAATGTCTTGTCCAGATCCAGAAGTTCTTGCCGACGTGGAGGAATGGAAAAAGGGTCTGGCCAACTACTCAACTCAGGTGGTGGGAAACACTCTGGTCTTCCTGAACGCGTCACGTGAGGAGTGTCGATTTGGGGAATGCAACATTGGAAACTTGATCTGTGATGCCATGGTAAGTATTTAATGTTGACATCTGTAGCAGTGCAGAGAACATGGCGCATACCAACATAAAATAAAGGGACTGCAAATGAAAATTTGAACAACAGTTCACAAAACACTTTTCAGAAAACAGAATATTTCAGAAAACACTGAACCATTTCACAAAACACAACACTTCAAAAATGTTTTCTATTTGTAAGACTTGTCTGACTTAGCAACAGTAACTAAGGGGTGGGACTTAGGTTTGGTCAATTATAAATCAATGTAACCACGAGAGGTTCTTGAGCTTGTAGTCATAAATGTTCACACAGATATAAGGTTACTTGGCCCAGTTGTGTGGAAAATTAGCTGCGGGCAGACAGATACACATTCACACAATCACCCACTCACCCAAACACGATTCCTCGAGGCGTACGCTTAGCAGAAATAATGATACATTCATGGATTAGACATTTTGCATGGTCTGGTGGAAAACGTTGTTGCAGGTGACTTCTACATTGGAAATAAAACCGCCAAGTATTTATTTATCTTTAGAGATGAAATGATAAATAACACTGATAGCAAACAATGCAAATTGGGCCCCCCTGCACCTTTTTTTGGGATATTTTTGGGGGTACTGAAGGAATGTGGATTGGAGAAATGGTGACACACACACACACACACACACACACACACACACAAACTGCTTTCCTAATTATAGTAGTAGGATAAAAATAAAAGCCCTGTGTGACTGAGACAATCTGTTTCTCACTTCCTTTTTTCAGGTCGACAACAACATCAGGTTCTCAGACAGTGTTCAGTGGAACCACGTCAGTGCCAGCATCTTCAACGCAGGAGGCATTCGCAAGTCTATTGATGAACATACCAGGAACGGTGTGTCACTCATTTTTATGAAAGAAAAATTAGAACAGAAAGATATTAAATAATCTAAGCCAGAAAGTGCCAGGAAAAACTGAGATGATTTTGTGTTGAAAAATAAATGTACTCAGTCTGTCCTCTCTTCTCACCAATTACTCTACAGTATACCAAGAATTGAGGAAATTGACTCAGCCCAAAACTTAACATGGAGAGTTCCGCTATACTTTCTACATATCTGAAACAAGCAAAAACTTGAGGTCTGCTCTTTGAAGTGGGATTGTATGAGGGTTATATGTAGTAGATGTCTGTAGGCACACCCCTAGTTTGGAGAAGTGCCAGGAGTAACGACACAGAATCTATGCTATACACTGCTGTGGATTGGGGAAGCAGCAACATGTATTTCGAGACCCCCAAAAAAGACCCACTGTAGGTGTACGCTATACTGAAAGTATTTTCACTGCCTTACTTTTACATCAGACAGCCTGCTCTGACAGGGGAGCTGTCAACAGCCTCAGTTCCTCATCTACGCTCTCGTCAAAACCTCCAGAGTCCATTGACAGTAACAATACTTTTGGCTTGCTGAACACGGGAGCTGCTGGTCTACCGCTGTCTCGATCAGTTAGTTTGTGTCATTGTGCGAATTTGCTGAATCTGAACTAACCATTTTGAATGCCAAAGTCACACAATAACACAAACTAACTGATCAAAGCAGCAGTAAACCAGCAGTGTCCCTGTCCAGTGATGTTAAATCACTGTTTTTCTCAATGGAGTCTGGCTTTGAAGAGAGCAGTGTAAAGACTTTTTTTTCCGGTAATGTAAAGCAGTGTAAATATTCTAAATGTCACATATGTCTCAACTGATATTGATTTATTTTAGGTGGCTAAAGTAAGTTTATTTGATGACCTGTCCACAGCAGTATATCGCTCAACTTACTTGTCAGACTCCAGCCTGCTTCTTTTAGTGGGAGGGGCCAATTGACATCTACTGCAGGTAACACACTGACTATTACTAAGTACCTCATACAGCCCCACTTAAAAAGATCTGAACTATCCCTTTAAAATTATTTGTTTTCCTACTACACTTTACTGAGTTTAATTTAGGACATTTATTCATATTGTGTACTGTCATTTAGTTTGTGTGATTATAATCTTCCATTTTACCTTGTTTTAGTCTTTCAAATCCTACTTAGTGAGTCTTTAATACTTTTCCCCAAAGTGATACTATGCACAATCATTGACGACAGGATGTTTTCTGTGATAAATGTTTTGTCAGAGGAACTTCATAAAACTGTTCATGTCTGCAGGTTCAATCACCATGGAGGACCTGATCGCTGTCTTACCTTTTGGAGGGACTATGGACCTGCTGGAGCTGAAGGGATCGACATTGTTTAAAATCTTTGAACACTCATTGAAACGATATGGCCAGAGCAAAGGAGAGTTCCTCCAAGTATCAGGTATCTTTCATTTTTACATTGTTTTCATCTGTATATATATATTGTCTTTTTATTAAGGACGTATTCACCATGGCGCTATTTGGTCCGCTTTAAACGAACCCTGGTTTGTTTGGAGTGGCGTGAATGCTCATTCAAACTCTGGTGCGACCAAATGAGTGAGCCCTGGTCCGCTTGAAAACTGGGGGTCTCGGTTCACTTACAACTGAACCCTGGTGTGGTTCACTTACAGTGGGACATGCAAACGAACTATCCAGCGAACCAAAGAGAGGAAGTGAACCAAAGAGAGCAGCCCGAATGAGCAGCTGTTGTAACTGCGTGACACTGTCCAGGCTTTAAAAAGTGCAGTGTGAAAGCGAACCAAACCAAATAAAGGTGGGAACCCCCACCTGATTACATTTCTTCACCATGACAGGATGATGTGAAAAAAGTCACATAGCCCTGTAAAACCAACTTTTTTTTTACATTTACAAAACAGTTTTTTTATAGAATAAACAAACAAGGTAATAATTAATTAGACAGCTTTAGAGCTGCTGGAAGATTGATTTTGTTGGACTCTGATACCCTGCTGCTGACATATTTCAGTTGGTACCTCAAAGATATTCAAGGTTGATCCTCAGACGTGTTGTTGGATAAGTTTCTATGTCCTTAAACAGGAATTCAATTCGAGTTTGACCCCTCTAAACCAGAGGGGAATCGTGTGATGAGCCTCAGCATCCTCTGCGTGCAGTGTCGAGTTCCTCGCTACGAGCCTGTTCAACCGGAGACGGTTTATAAAGTGGTGATGCCATCCTTCATAGCGCAGGGTGGAGATAAATACTCCATGATCCCAGATGAGAGGCTCAACCACGACACAGGTGAGGTTTGTGTGGTTGATAAATTTTGTAACAGAACTGTTTACTTAAATTTAACTTTATTTAAGTATTTTATTTCCTTCCAGGGAATTTGGACATCGCAGTCCTGTCTGAATACATCATGAAAAACCAGAAACTTTATACGCCTCTTCAAGGACGCATTAAGGTCCTCAACTCAACTTCTGGACAAACTACTTCACTGAGCAACTCAACTTCTGGACAGACCACTCCTCTCAACTCAACCTCTGGACAGACCACTCAACTCAGCAGCTCGGCTCTTGCACAAACCACTCCACTGGTTATTCTGGTCTCACTTGGGCTGCTGTGGTCTCTGTGTGGGAGCATGGAGGGCTGACTTTAACCAGAAACACAACTTAAACTCTTTCTCTCCTAGTGGAGCACAGGTCATCCACAATTCTTCCCCAGTCCTCTCTGTTTTGGGACACTTTCTGCAGTTCCAATTTTACGTCACTTTCTTGGCCTCTATGTCTGGTGACCTCCATTTGTTTCTGGGTCTTCCTTGTTTTCTCTTCCCTTGTGCATTTCGTATTAGAGCCTGTCTGGTTTCATTGATTTTGGGCTTCCTTAGGGTGTGTCCGATCCAACCCAACTTCCCTTTCCTTATGTGGGTGTTCTCTCTTGGTGTGTTTCCTCCCACACATCTTTATTTCTGATGGTGTTTGGCCAATGTATCTTCTCGATGGTTCTTAGGCACTTTGTGATAAAGGTCTGGACTTTGTTGGTGGAGGATTTTGTTCTGAACCATGGAGCAGCACTGATTGAACATTGGTGAGTTTGGTGAGATGGGCCTCAGTGTAACAAAAGCTGTTCTAAACCTTCCAAATTGGGCTTGAATGTCTGCATCTGTCCATCTATCCTTGCCCACAACACCTTTGAGTTAGGTGAAGTTGGTAACGTCTTCTAGCTCTGCTCCAGTCAGATGGAGTCATTGCTGGTGTTGTTGGTGTGCATTACTCTGGTGTTGTCTGTGTTGATGGTGAGGCCTTTCTTGGCAGATGTTGTTGCTAGCAGGTCTGTCTTTGCTTGCATCTGTGGGTGGGTGGATCATGTTAAGGCTGTGTCATCTGCAAAGTCCAGATCATCGAGCTGGGACCACAGCATCCACTGTATTCCACATCTCATGATCCAATCCACTGCCAGGAGAAAGGGCAAGGGGGACAGCAGGCAGTCTGATGCCAGTGGCCATGGAAAAGGTTCTGTGAGGCTGCCGTTTTGCACCGCTCTACATGATGAGTGTTGGTTCATTGTCTGATGAACTTTGGTGTATGCCATGATGTCCCATGAGAGCCCAAAGGGGGTTTAGGTCCAGGCTGTCAGAGGCTTTCTTAAGGTCTGTTACTGTGATGTAAAGAGCTGTGTCCCAGAAACAAAAGAGGACAGAAACTGGACATGAACTTGAAGAACTAACAGGACCAGTGAATGAAGTTCTAATGGGACGAAATATCTTACTTCACAAAAATAATATTTTATTTTTTTACAGAAGTAGTTAAGGTCTTAGATTATAAATAGTACTAGTTCTAATGTTTCTTTGCTTGCAGTTTGAAAAATATTGATGCATCACAAAGGTTGTACGGCTTTAAAACAAATATGGTTTGAGTTCTGTTAGCTTGATTGACTGGTAATTTAGCTCACTCATATATATTTTGAAAAATAAACCATCACTGTTCATGTCTTCACCGTAGCTCATTTCACACAAGTATCATGCATGTTAGTATTAGCCTTGGTGTGGAGATAACTTGAGAATACAAGCGTGACTTACCACAAACCAAAGTTGAGCTTCAGCCATGACTGTTCTAAGAGAACTGGATGCAGCATTGAACATGAGGCCCAGTTTATTCCTGAAAGTTGCTTAGTGGCATATGAAGCCAAACTGCTATGTGCAAAATTACCAGATGATCTGGGCATTATTGGCACTACTTCTGCACTGTGTGGCCCATGGAGCATACACCCTAGAGACTTATTGCGGCTGACTGTGGTCAAGTGGCTAACTTGTGCAAACAGATAACTTACAGTTTAGTGCTCCACTAACTTAAATGGGATAAAATGGTTTCATCTTGCAGCTCTTCTAGACTTTCCAAATGTTATCAGACCGAATGGATTAAATCCTGAATGTGAATAGAGGAATTGGAAGGCTCAAAAAAATGTATCCGCTGATTTTCAGATGTCTCTTTCCCAATGTAATTTAATGGGGAAAAGTCTTTTTGGCCACAGGGCATCACATGATGGACCCCAGAAGTTGCAGTACCACTGTTTGGTCCCTACAAAACTTGGTGTCAAAGCCCGGTGCAATTTCTGAGGGCCTGGTTTCAGCACTCCAATCATGCAGTGAAGCTTCAGCAAATCACATAGTTTGTTTCAAGCTGTGGTACTGTGTTATTCAGCTTAGTTAGCTGGCACTTTCCTAGCTTAATCTGCATTGCTGTTCACATGGGGAAGTAATGGGGCAGCAAAATGATGACGTTCAGTTGAGGGGCACTGTTGCAAATAGCAGACAAACACAAGCCTGACAAAATAAAAACATTAACGAGCGCTTGGGCAACACTTCAATGGCAACTCAGCGATAATGTAGCTAATCATTCAACTAATCAACAGCATTAGAGTTTACAAAACAAGGCCTTGCATGTGTGAATGATCTCTCAAACAACCCTCGAAGCCTATTAATACATTCAGGAACTTCTTTTTAGTCAGATCACTGAGCACCAACACATTAATCCTGCACTGTGTTCTGAGGAGGAGTTTTACCTCAAAAGAATGACATTATCACAATTCAGTGTATGTTCAAAAAATACTAAAAGCAAATGAGGAAAACATCTTTGACAACACTTATAAATAAATAAATGCTGTAAATAAAACACAAGCAAATTAAGAAATGCATTCGCCAATTTAAAAACATAAACGACATGGAGAAGTGCACTGCAAATACACAGTACTGCAAGTAGTACAGAAGAAAACTGAAATTTCCTCAAGACAAGATCTGACTGAGTGATGTGGCCATTTATGTTTAGGATTGTAAGTAGGTTTTTGGCTTCCATGGAAAGTTTAGTATGTGACTCTAAGGAATGTATAAAAATCTAGTGTCTAGAGTAAAGGTTAATAGCACAGTATCTAGATTATTACAATTGCGTAGAGGCACTTGGAAAAAGTTCAAGAAAAAAAAAAACTTTAAGGCACAAGTATGAAAGAACAACAACATACATTGGCATTATATGCAGATGATGTGATCATTTATTTATCACCCCCAGATTAATCCTTTTCATACTTAATAGAAACAATCTCAGAATACAACAAGCACCAAGGTTATTAGCTAAATGAAACTAAGACTCTGACAACAGAGATTTAAACTGAAATAGGATTATCTTACTGGAGAAATAAAATCCTCTTTACAGTATATAGACAATTAACAAGTTTTGGAAAATGAATTGAGACAAGACTTTCCAGATTGAAAATGGTAACAGAGTCAGTGCTGAGTGGAAAGTATGAATATTATTATTCTTCCAAAAACTTTATTTTTTGGAATAGGCTACAATGAGTCCAAAATTATATCTGTAGTATCTGTAAGGAAGTGAAAAAATACAGTATTCTAACTCAACCTAAAGAGAAGGGTGGGCTCTGCTTCCCAGATTTAGTAAGGATCTATTTTCATGCTGTAGTAGTAGTAGATATGATTATAAAAAATAATTTAAAAAATGGAGTAAAAATTAAATAAAAACTTAAAGACAAACAGCGATATCAGTTGGTAACTACCCTACTTAGGTTTTAAGAAAATTCAAAAACACTTTGGAAATAATAGATGTATAGAAAATACATAAATAAGTTGCAGACATTCATAGCATATATAGATTTGACTTACTTACTTACTTACTTACTTAATCCTCTTCTTCCTGGGTGGGAAATAAGGCTTCGACGACTCGATGCCATTCATCTCAGTGTTGTGCAACTTTCTGTGCCTCTCCCCATTTAAGCCTCATTTCTTTCAGCTCCCCTTCAACTGTTCTCCGCCAGGTGTTCTTTGGCCACCCAGGCTTACGTTTTCCAGGTGGTGTCCATCGTAATGCTACTTTTGGTATCCTCTCCTTGTCCATTCTTAGGATGTGGCATAGCCATCTGAGTCACCAGTTTTTTATTTCAAGGACCACATCTCTGCATCCTGTTTTGTTGTACAGCTCCTTGGTTGTTATTTTGTTTGGCCAGAAGATTCGTCCGATTTTTCTCAGGCACCCATTGTGGAAGGCAGAGATGGGGACTCGAGTCATTGTGACTTGGACTCGAGTCGACTCGAGTCGCTGTTTTGATGACTTGTGACTTGACTTGACAAAAAATAAAAGACTTGAGACTTGACTCAGACTTGGAAGTTAAAGACTTGGGACTTGACTTGAGACACGATGACTTGAATGACTTGAGTGTTATTCACATCATGTTTTTGGCTAGAATATAAAATTAATAAATTCATTTAAAAAATAATGTCGATTACCCGGTAGGAGCGCAGGCTGAGAATGGCGTTGTCATGATTGGATCACTACCCTGTCAATCAGTCATGCCCTCTCTACGTACCTTACGTGTTTATTGGAGAAACAGGCCCTCTTATATCAGATAGGCATCAACATGTCAGCGGGAGGGGTACCGAGAGTCATCGTCTTCGGCTTTCGGAATTACCATTATTACGGCAAAAGACGAACAGCACAGTGCAAGACATGCGGCATAAACATCTCGGACAGCCAGACGACAACTTCAAACTTTGTTCGTCATTCGCCATTCTGCCCAGTAAGTGCTTGTCAATTAGCTAATATTATCTGGTTAGTCGGTAGTTAGCTAATGTTAGCTTGATACGAGACCGGCTGTACATTTTATGAACGAGCAACACAGGGTTAAATGAGCTAAATGGGTGATTTTGGCCGCTGCCTTGGTTAGTGTGTTTGCGTGCACGCACGCGTGGGGGTCGTCCCTGCAAAGTAAACATTGCAGCGATGAAGTCAGTGTTTACTGACAGTTACTTATATCTTGTCTTTTCACTTTATTAAGATCAGATTCTGCAGGTAAAATTACAATAATAAGGTGACTTGACTTGGACTTGGACTTGACCTATTACAGGACTTGACTTGACTTGACATAACCTGTGACTTGACTTGACTTGACTTGCCCAAGAAAAAATGACTTGGGACTTACTTGAGACTTGAAGGTTAAGACTTGAGACTTACTTGAGACTTGCACATGTGTGACTTGGTCCCATCGCTGGTGGAAGGCCCTGATTTTATTCATGTCTCCTTTCACCACTTGCCAGCATTCTGAGCCAGCATATAGATTTGACAAAGACTGTATATTAGGGATCTCAAAGATAAGCATCAATCAAGGTATGTTTTTTTTAACTGAGTGGGATCGGCTCTTTGAGCTATATAGAGCTATATAGATCTAATCGTTTATTGTACATCATCTCACGCAGCTTTCATACACAGCAATACAATAAGTGCAGCTGTTATCAATACACCAACTGTACGCTGCCCCGCCCACTACGAAACACTTAACGCCATAAACAACAGCAAAATGTAGGATGAGAGTGTTTATTTATGTTACTTACCAGGGTTATGAGCACTCGCTTTATTTCTGCTCAGTGTGAGAAACTGCTTGTTTGTCATCTATGGCACACGATGTTTTACCAGCCTGCTCAGAGAAGAGACAGTGTAGAGCCGACAACAACTACACTCACCACACCACTGCAAACTCTGCAAAAGTCCCACTGAAACAAGCCAGGTCTGAGGTTGTCGTCAAATGTGGTGGAAACATTTGAATTTTCACGTTACAGGGCCCACACATAAACAAGGACACACACTTGGCCTTGTTTTTTCTGAAGGCATAACAGCATAACAGTAAATGCCATTTTGGATGTTGCTATTCCAAATCAGTTTTTCATCTTTTTTAATATGACCTGTGTACCCAGACAGGATGATGTAGTCAGATTCATAAATAAGTATTTTCTTTATGACAACACTTCAAACATATTTATTTATGAATAAACAAAGCATACACTGTCCACCATGTCATCATGAAATGAGAGAAAAACTACACAGAGAGCAGAGATTCAGTCTACATATACTACAACATTACATATATTGCAGTAACAACTGGGTTCAATTTTCCCTAACCAATCACTGGAGACTGGCATATCTGCCTGATAGTTATTTTGCGTCTCTTTGCAGTTCCTTTGCGTCTCTGTGTTTTTTGTAACTCTTTGTGGTCATTTTGTGGCCTCTTCCTGGTCAGTACGTGAAAATTTGATTGACATTTTGCGGGATATGACCAGGGGAGCCCCTGACACTTTGAGCCTCTGGGCCTTTGCCTTGTAGGCACAATCAGTAATCATCCATGCTACTGTTAACATTAACATTAAGTGTCCTGTTCAAAAAGTAAAGACTGACTGACGTTACTCTGCAAAAATGCCCTCATTTAAAGGTTTAAACAGGTTTTCACAAGCATAGAAGTGCAAGGACATGTTATGAAATATTCTAATAATCACATTTCAAGTGGAGCCAAGATGGCGGCGATGTAGGTGAGCGTGTGTCTTTTGCTCTGTTGGGTGCTTCGGAGGTTTTGCGGTTATACAACCGAAAGAAACTTTG